TTCTTCATGCACACTTCCTATAATTTATAATCTCTTTCTGCTATTTGCACATTTTTTTACTGTAAATTTCTAAGTTAAATCTGTAAATTTTGTATAACCTGTAAATTGTAAATACTGTAAAACCACTGACATTTAATGGTCGGGCATTGCATTGCACAGCACTTCACCTCATGTCATACTGTGTATGGTTGTGTGTGTGACAAATAAAATTTGAATTTGAATTTGGAATGACCTGCCATTGTATAATGGGTATAACGAGGGAGCGTTTGAGTTTCTCCGGACTTACCTGAGCGCTGACATACTTGGCAAACCACTCCCTGCCTTTTCCATTCTCTCCACTGCACAACTCTCCAAAACGAGCCTTCTCCTCTTGGTCAAAGTCCTCTCTGTGAAAACATGGGGCTGCTGTGAAAACACACTTTAAAGTCTGCTTTGATGAAAATGAAACAGAGAAATCTGAAAAATACAAAGAAGATGGTTCTGAAGTTTGGACTGACCGACAGAGAAAGGCCGAAGATGTAAAAAACAAAAAAGACTGGCAATCACTGATTTTACATCACTGAGCTAACAGCCAGCTCTTACAGGTGATTTCAGAAGATTGCTCATGTTTATTAATGTGAAAGATGTCACTGCTGTCCCAGTGAAACAGCACGGCTTTAACAACGTAGTGAAATTACCTAAAAAGTAGCAGCATTGCAGGGCAGCAAATATCCAACTGCATACTGCACAACATTCAAACTCATCTTGTGTATTTACTGTCTGCCTTCATGATGCACAGCTCACTTAGTCATGCATTACTGCATTAGCATCTACAGGATGCGGCTCAAAATATCTCGAATCCTTTCACTATTACATTAACCCTTTAAGACCTACCGTAGAACCAAGTCCGCCAGAGCTTATATTATATTTTTACATGCTGTAGTGGCATTTTTGGGAGCATTTCAATTTGCTATACATCAATACAACTGTTATAGCCCATATTCTAATAATATGTATGCATTAAGTCCATAGTAATTACATTAATTGCAAAAAAGTGCAATAAACTACAAAAAAATTAAACATCGTTTTTGTTTTGTTTTTTTTACATAAATTTCTACTTGGAGAAATTTAAGAGGTTTATCCCTCAAAACTTTAAATACAAAAAATAGTTTACAACAACAGGAAATTTATTTTGAGTGTCTTCATAGTTTTATTTTTGAGACACACCAATTTTTATATACTGCAGGAAAAATGAAAAACAATCCTATGATGCAAATTTGCAAAGGAAACAGCATGTGCATCAAAATAAACTGTTTTAAGCAGTGCAATTTGAGTTCTAAGCATCCCAGCGACTATTCAGAAAAGCATAAAGTCAAACATGACTTATAAAAACACCAGTATAGGCTTTTAAGGCCTACAAGTAAAAAACTACATTTTCTGTGAAAATGACGTCACTTTCGGTTTCGGGCAGGTAATGGCGGACATGCGATAGTTCGCGTTGACGTCTGTTTCAATGTGGGAAGTGTTTGAACAGCTGATCGGATCGGCAAAGCGTGTTTCTGGAATATTATGTTTTTGTTGCTGCAAGTGGTTTTTATGCAATTTTTGCAAAGCTTTATGTGGAAGGAAACCGTGACCGAGGACAAGCTGATGGCATCAGATGTAAGTACAACTCCTCTGGTTTCATTTGCAAAAAATTATTGCGCTAGCTTATGTGGTTGCAGTTCTACAGGGATTTAAAAATAGTTACGCAAAACGGAGCGTGCTGCTCTGACCGGCTTAAAAGGGTTAAGGGACAATCAGAAATCCACTAAGAGGGTGATGAAGATAATGAGAGATGACTGGACCGTCCCAGACAAAGGTAAAGAGGGCAAACTGCTGAATCAGAGTTCTAATGGCAAGAAGATTTTACTTTAGGATGAGATGCGTTATGGCATTGACCACAGAGAGGTCACCATGTGACCATGTGACCTCTCTGTGGGTCAATGTGCAAAGAGCTCAGTGGTCAATGCTTGAGGGGTCAAAATAAACACACCTAACAAAGTTCAATGAAATACAATGCTGTCCTGATATTTAGAAGTGTCTTTGACCAACCTCACATTTCACTCCATTAGATTTCTTACGTCAGCAGACCAGTGACCCCCGTGACCCTGCCGCAGTGTCACGAGAGGCTCAGCGTGTAAACCATGAAGCACGAGCACCAAGGCCACGTGCTAAGCACAGAGGCCACTGTTCAATTTCTTCACTTCTTAAAATATGCTCGAGTGATAACAGCAGAACCACCCATGTGTGTGATCATACAGTGCAAACACTGCTGCTTTAACATAAACGTGCCCATGGCTACATTGAGACACCCTGGTTGGAGTTTGTAACCTCCTCTGTGTTCAAATACCAACGATATCTTTTCCTTATCTGGCTTCCTGGACAGAATTTAGCACTCTGGTAAATGTCGACGCCACCTTCACCCTGCAGCTCTTTCCCTGCGTTGATAATTTGGTGGCTTCCATCCAGACCCACACAATGCTCGCCAACATTGGAGAGGCGCTGTCGGACCGTCAGCTCCTCTATGACCCGCTTTGAAGTTTCTGTACTGTAATTAACTTCCTGCATGTATTTTCACAACATTTCTAGTTTCATAAAGACAGGCTGTTAGAAACATCCACTAAATCTGTTGTTAAAACACAAACACGTACAGACGACATCAGATAAAACCCGTCACGCCTACGGTAGACTCGTCTCGGCGATCGACATCGAGGGCTTACAGACTTCTCCACATTCTTTCTTTCATCATCACAAAACAAGTTTCAAAAATCTAAAGGCGAAAGGCCAACACCTTTTCATCATACCAACTTACATTTTAACAATGCAAGTTAATCCAACGCCCTTTTCAGTAAACACTGTCCGCAGCAACCTCACATGACTCACGCTGCTTTCAAAGCCCACACTTTTGTGTGGAGATCAAAGCATTTCAGCCCAGATCGTCTCACCCTGCCTTCCTGATTTCATGTGGTTCAGATCTGACAGTTCACTTTCAGCAAAAGACAAAAACCCCCAGAAAGTTTCAATAGTCTCAAAGAACGACTGAAACAAACAGCGGATATCAGGATGATCGTTTCTCTCATCTTTGTCCGTTTTTTCCAGGGATCCCTGTTTGTAATTTCCCACATGTATGGCACAACTCTGATCTGTTTCAAGTCAATGACATTTCAGTAAGTCAGACCTCTTCTATTTGCAAAACACGATGCAACAAGTATGCCACTGATTCATCCTAAAAACCCCACAATTTTCAAGTTGCATGTTTTCTTACGAATGCCGACGCTGTACAGACGGTGCATACTTGTGCAATTTCAAAACTTTGCATCATTTTTCTGTCATTCTGCAAAAACTTATGGGATTACTCCATCATTTACCAACACAGAGAAGCAGACAGTTATTCACAGCTATCACTATTATCCATATCACTAATTAACCTTTAGAATGTGTGAGGAAGCCGAAGCACCTGCAGAGAACACACAACATTTTTCTGTGGCTCTAATGCTTCACAATCTCATTTATCAAACAAATGTGAGCTGTCTTTTTTTAAGACTCACTCAAACACAAAAGACCAAAAACAGTTCAAAATGTTGCTCCTTACTTTCCATGAAACACCTTCTCCACATACGTCTTCATGAACTGCCTCCTCTCCACCGTCTCGGCGTCGGCTTCCTCCCCGCTGTGAGCCGACGAAGACGACGACCTTCTTAGTTCCCATTCATGAGAGGGCGGGTCCATGTCATTTTCACTGTCTGCCGACTCTGTAGCATCACTGTCGTTGTTTCCCTCCTCTGACTGGTGGTGGGAGTTGGGCTTGGTTGGAGCCATGGGCTCTGGCAGCTGGTGGACTCCTGTGGAAGAAGCTGGCTCTGGGGAGAAAATGTCTGTGTGTCCTTGGTGTTGCCCTCCATCTATGTTGAGAGTCTTGGTCTCTGACGGTAGGTCGAAGTCTATTAGGTTGTCCACTGCCACACCCTCCATGGTGGAAAGCCTCTTGTTTGTGACTGTGCAACAGTGGTGTTAAACAGAGCTATTTACTGCTGTGCAGGAACATGAGAGTGCTGGTCCCAGTTTAGGTTTCCACTGAAGCCGCCGGCCTTGCTAGGTTAGGATTCTGCAGATCATTCCACCCCTGAGGGTGCTGACCCTCACAGAGTGAACTCACAAAGCATCTGTGGACCAATGAAAGAGAGAAATCAGCAATATTACACCATGTTAAAATAGACCGTGTGAACATAATAATTTTAAAAACACGCTTGACCTGCAATTCAAACAAAGATCATGTGGTTTGATAATGTTAAATACCATTAACAAAGGAATATATTTGGCCAAAAGCTGCAGTTCCTGTTACGTCCACTTGAGGCTATCTTTGAAAGTGAGCCAGTCCCCACAGATTCCCATTTTAAAGCGCTCACATGAATAATTTTGCTTGCAGTGAATGTGTCCAATATGTGCGTCTGTGTGTTACATTCAATATACGGATGCAGTATATTCACCAAGCTAAGTAGCATTAGCTGTTAGCTTAGCAATCCACACTCATGCCCAAATATGGTCACTTCTAGCTCCAAGAAATGACACATAGTAGCTAAAACATTGAAGGCTCAGCAGGCAGACTGCAAAACCAACAGCCACGTCCATCTTTTACATACAGTCTATGCACAAATGTCCTCCTAATACATGGGTTTTATGCTTTATAAAAAATCATGCCATGTGTTACAAAAAAAAACACATGTTGCTGATGTGGTGAAGTTTTTTTTTTTTTTACAAATGTTCTCAGTAATATAATTTCAGACCAGGTACAAATTCAGAGCATTTACGTGAAATTGATCCGTATACAGACATCGGCATTACTCATTCTGAAGCTTTACTAATAACTTTTCAGTTACTGATTTAGGAATTTCCAGCCACTCCTGTTGCAGATCACTTCAAGTTCAGTTCATTTAATGTGATTATCGAGTCCACTACATTGTCTCCTAATGGAGATTTGTCTCTGGCCAGAAAGTCTTTTCTTTGTTGATGAATCTAAAAGATTCAGTTCAATATTTATTAAAAAGCAACATCATGATGATTTGAAACATTTAGAAAAAGTGAACAAGCAAATCAGAGTCCTGAATTTATTTAGATCACCTTAAATATATTTAAACCTGGTTTAGCTATAAAGCCTTGAACTAACATTTCCCCCCCGAGCTTGTCCTTAAAGCAGCATTTCTGCAGGACTTGGTGCAGTTTTGCAACAGTGGTTGGGTGGAGGTGCTGCCTTAAAGGCCAAAGTCAGAGAGTAAACAAACACCTCAAATTACAAGAACGACTGCAACCCTTACTTTGCTCCAAACTGAGACAGTGCTTTGCGACGGTCAGTCTAAGAATCCTTTTCTGCTATGAAAAAGTGAAAACATTCGTAATGAAAAGAAAAGAGGGTATTACAGGCCGTGTAGCTGTAAGTGTAAATTTAACCGCCAATAACAAAATGTTACGTGAATAAATCTATACAAGTTTACTTCTTTCTAAATTTGAGATGATAAAACAAAACCAGTGTGACATCTGACTCAACACCAGGCCTACCAAACGTGCCTACGGTGACACGGCACTTCTTATTTAAATGCTTAAGGTGTGAAAGTGAATATAATTTCCTGTTGTTTGTGATCGCACACATTCTGCAGGCAGAGTTAGCTGAGCAGAGCAAAGTATGCTTTGTGGTCTGACATAAAAAACCCACAAACCTCCTGATAGGACACGCTTGTCCTCCCTGACTCTGATGCTTAAAGAAGGAGAAGAAGATCTTTGTATCTCAGAAAGCTGATCCTTACCTGGATGCATCAAAACAGATCTACTGATCACTTCTCAGAGGGAAAAAAGAGCACGAAAGAAAACGAGCAGCATGTTGTAGCTCCACACTGTCATTTAGATCCTGTTCAGTTGTCCTTGCTTTGAAATCTCACACCCCGTTCATCTCTAAACCTCAGTGTTGTATTTTTAGAATCTATTCTTTCATCATGTTACAGTGCAAATAATAGGAAGTTGGAATGATTGATTAAAAACCACAAAGAAAAAGGCAAACGAATCTTAAACTGGACTGCTATACATCTCCTGTCACACACACCTTTCATCTGGTTTGAAATAAATGCCCAGTCATGGGACAGCATCACACTGAAACGGCCTTCCCAGGATTCTTCACCCAGCAACAGCTGGCATCCTTCTCACACACACACACACACGCACACACACACACACATACACACACACACACACACACTTACATTAATACCCAGTGACTCTTGCGTTGCAGCTAATGGGCAGAGAGGTGAGAGGCCCAAAGCTGAAGCCAGAGCAGCGTTTGAGAGTAAGATTTCAGAGTTCAGCTAAATCGCTGCAGAC